GGACTTGAGCTCATCTTTCACACGAATTTGGGGGTAGGAATCGGATTTTAGGGTTTTGGGTTCGGATTTGGGGGAAACAAATCAGAAAATAAGGGAAATGACAATGATTTCACAATTACTATGCTTTAGAGATGGTGGGATGAAATGGAAGGGTGATTTGAAGGATTACAGCTGACAAACAAGAGAAAGAGGGGTTTTGATTTCGAAAATATTGCAAATGAGACCGAGAGAGATCTGGATATGTGGTTTTCTGCGGTATTTAGTCGACTAAATGTGCTCGACATGTAGTCGATCAAGGTGAGTATTTAGTCGACTAAAATTCGTGTTTCTTGATTACTGTATTTTGCCCATTTAGTCGATTAAAAGTGCAACTTGATCGACTAAATGGGGGCAGGATGGTGGATAGTTCTGGGGGAGGGGCAAATTGGTTATTAATTAATTAATGAGGGGCAAAAGGGTCAAAAAGCCCATAATAATCCCTTATAATCCTAATTTTTTCTCTCTCATCCCCTCTTTGTCTCTCTCCCTAGGTTCTGGAATCAACTCTATCATCCTCTCTTTATTGTTAAAGTGCTTTGATCTTCAATTCCAACAAAAATATGTTATATTATTTTGGTATGCTCATATGTTATATTATTTTGAAATCGTAATTATTTTGAAATCGCAATCAGAAGATGTCTGAAAAATAGCGAGTTTGGGAGAAGATGTCTGAATCGCAATCAGAAGATGATGAGAGAGTTGATTATTTTTAACTCCCAAATTACGATGACTCAAATTCAAACAGAGGGGATGAGAGAGTTGATTCTTTTGAACTCCCAATCAGAAGAATGAAAATTCAACCATGGCTGTATACAATGTCTGAAGCCCAAACAACGAAAGGATCGTGCCTCGTTAAAGGAGGATGATAGCGAGTTTTTGAAGCCTATCGTAGTCGCGCATCCATGGTTGTATACGATGTCTCAAATTCAAACAGAATGAACCACAAAACATCATAAAGAGAGGATGAGAGAGTTGATTCCCAAACCTAGAGAGAGATGTCCAGATTCCAAATCTAGAGAAAGAAACAAAGAGGGGATGAGAGAGAAAAATTAGGATTATAAGAGATAATTATGGGCCGTTAGATTTAATTTTAATCTAACGGTTAGGAGATTGGTTGTAAGGGTGATAAACTTACCTGGTGGTAAGTATAACCGTCCCCATTAAATATTATAAAATTTATAATTATGATCATGGTCAGTGACGAAGCCGCATGGGGACTTTAGTACTAGTTAATTTTTAAACTTTTTAAAATTTGGCATGAATAGAGATTAAAATTTGGCAACTATACAAAACAAATAAAAGGATGACAGTAGCTAAAAATTTTTAGGGCAAATTTTTGGTACTGGCTAATATTTTTTATTGGCTCCACCACTATTGACACATGAGTTTAATAGTAAATGAATACACTTACACTTTCAGTATAGGGGAATCTTAGAAGAAAAAACTTATTTTTTGGAGAATCTTATTTAAATAATAATATATGAGGTGAATGTGCTCTTTAGCAAAGAGACTTGATGATAGACTATAGGATTAAATCCCACTCAAACTACTTTATGTGCAATTCGAAATACTCTCCCTTCGTCTAAAGTTTTTTTTTTATACTTTTTAATCTGTGATCAACATTCATTTATTTAAACACTCAAGGATGTTTATATCCAAATATATGTGAAGCCAAAAAACTTTTTTTTCCAAATATTTTGATATTTTTTATGGAAAATATTACTCTCCTTTCACATAAGATAACTTGTCTCATATTATTTTACTTCGATTTTTCGTATTTCACCTTTTTTCTTTCTTTTTTTATGCAATGATGAGATCCACCTATTTTCTCTCTACAACATAAGATAATTAAAGGAGAATAATAAAACCCATTTTTTATTCATATAGCATTATATGAATAAAGTGACAATAAAGAATAAATATCAACAAATCCGCTTTACATTTATCCCATCACACTCGAAAATATCTTCACTAAAGACTAAGAACATCTTTTGTCAAAATTGAAAAAAAAAAATACCAATTTAATTTTATTTATTTTAATCACCTTTTTATGATTAATGCTATCGAAATCCTATTTTTAGTAAAGGAATACATAATCCTTAAAATTGAAGATATGCTCCACCACACTCCTTTCCACACTAATAATGGACTTCATAACAAAACAAAAATAAAAGTCACCAAAGGGTACATTGTAAAATTACAACAAATATATTTCATAATGGTTAAACCAATACGATGAATGAAACATATTCTTCTTAACTTGCCCAAAACCCTAGTGAAGAGATAATTCATTCTCTGGATAAAGTTGTTCAATGATCCAATCTCCATAATTTGATAATCGTTTTTTATTTTCTTCGTATAAATTATATCTATTTTTACAGGTCACGTTTAACCTTTCATTAAAAAGTTGAATTCACGATTATTGATACTAACTAATTAACCTTTAATTCAAGGGTTGATAATCAATTCATCAAAACAATTAAAAAATCATTTTTTAAAAGATATAAAAGGTTTAAGATATCTATATCAAGTACAAAATTACCAATTTAAGTTAATTTAGTAATGTATGAAAGTCAAATAATGATAAAATAAGTTAGCAAATTAATATCAACCCACTAAAACTCAAATAACAGGAATTTTCAACATAAGATATAAGAATGAGTTTTATGTTTGTTATGTTACATAACTTAACTCCATATTTCTACACACACATCAAAGAGGTGGGATTCACGTATTTTTTTTCTCTCTTTCATCATTTCATTTTCTCTCTCCTCTTTATTGTATGTGTAGGAAAGTAAAATTAGGTTATATAACATAACAAAGATAAAACCCAGGAAGAATAAATAAAGGGTTTTATAAAAGTTATGTTGTAGAAAAAGTGATTGGGTTATGTTTATAGAGATTCGTTTTTCGTGTCATAATTTTTTTTTTTGCTTCAAAATATGCGGACCCCACAAAATGTTATGTGTGTAAGAAACATTTTTTATTTTTTTGATCATGTTGCATGATGAACGCAAATAAATCTTTGGTACTACTGCTGTACCAAAGATTCAGTGCATCCCACCAATGAAAATATTACATGTCAGTTTCTGTCAAATTTTTTCTCTCTTTTGACGTGTAATGTTCTCATTGATGGAATGCACTGAATCTAGGTACAGCAGTAGTACCAAAGATTTATTCCAAACCCCATAAATAAATTACATAATTGCTTTACCCATTGAAATCACTACGTTTAACCAGCCACAAGATACCAGCAAAACCTCAACGCGTAATTGTTATCAAAGTCAAAACTTTTCAATAATATACCAAGATATAGTGTAAAAAGCTTTTGCACTAACATGAATCAAAACTAAATCCATAAAATGAACTTAGATGACGAACACTCAACATACAACTAAGAACTGGAAACAGAAGTTTAGCATCGATTTGTACTCAAACACACACAAGGAAACTTTCTGCTAGGATTTCTATTCATTCAAAACTTTGATATGATAACATAAAAGGAGAGTTTGTCATAAACAATGGACCTACTATAACTATATCAGTATTCAAAGCCCTCAAAAATGGCTGCCTAACATTTCCAAACTCTAGTTTTTTTCCTGGGGCTCCATAGCTGTGGAGCAAAGAATGTAGCACTGAACTAACATAATATCCATCTGGTGTCACTTGACAACCAAGAATCCCTTCCCTCTTCCTAACCCATAAAATGTAAGGGTGTGTGTTCTGTATTGTACCCCCTATCCACATTAAGAAGAACCTCAAAATAAGAAATACCTTCCAAAATTTTCTAATCAATCAAATTTTGTACAAATGTACATAAGGGTAACAGATTGTGGGCAACCTGCCATCTTAAGCAGGTTTCCAAGTGCAACTCTAGGTAGATATCCTTTAGCCCCTCCTTCGTTTCACAATGCCATCTCAGTAGAGAAGTAAAAAACCAAAAAGATACTTTATATACAGGACCAAGTTAATCTCTAGCACCACCAAGACCAGCACCACTTATAGCTATTGTTGCAATCCAAACCAGACGTACAAGCTCATCTAAATCCTGGAAGCTGAAATCAATAACCCTCCTAATAGAAGTTATACAGTTCGTATTCCGTGCTTCTTCTGTGATCAACTTAGCAGCAGTGAAAGCGCTCTGACATTTTCTACAAGCCTCCATTGCAAAATTTACATCCGGAGTCTACAAAAAACAACTTTCCATAAAAAATTATGAACATATATAATAAATCCTTATGATTTGGTATTCTGTGTCTACAGTGAAACTCAACAACCTTATAAGCTAACTGCTGATTATTAGGGTGAAGCAGGATGAAACAATAGGCTTGAAATTTTACATCCACCTATCCACTAAAAACTAAAATTTGTATTGCATTAAAAAGTGCTCAGTGACAATTTCCAGTACGACATTCAATACTCCATGCTCTTATATAAGAGAATCACTCCTATAACTTTCTAGGAATTTCAGGTATGAACCAAGATCTTGCGTGCAACAGAAAATTGTCTAAGGATCAAAGTCTGAACTTCTCTTGCATCGCAAAAATAGTGGACATCCATACTGATTTTTCTCAAATATTTTATCTGAGACAGAACCACATTTCTAACAATTCCCTTCTACCAATAAACCCTTAGATCCCCCAACAATAGTTCCGTGGTACTTCAGAATCAATGCACGTAGATAATTCTCCAAAAAGAACATAACGTTTATCAACAATTAAAACTTACAAAATCAAGAAGCCTGACCAAAGTTGAACGAGTTTGAGCAGATATGGCTTGGTTACCAGCAACCTGAGAACCAGTTGTACCCTTGGGCAAAGTGGCCTTATCCATTGCCGCCTGATTGTTTAAGTTATCAACATCTGATGCAGAAGATGAAGGAGATTCACCTAAAAAAGCAGAGATACATCACTGACTTGGATCACTTTATGAGGCATGCATCTTTCAGACAATATTAAAGACAAGGCTATTGAGCTATCTAGACTAAGTCTTGTTCACTCTGTCATGAACCAACTATCCCAAAAACTTAAGTTGTAGATGAAGACTCATAAATGGTTTTATATCTAGCATGCCCCCTCACGTAAGAGCCCTTTGGACTTGAAGCATGAACAAATGCATATGCCCATAAGCTGAAATTCACATAGAAGAACGGGGGACTAACAAGGATTGAACTCTTGACCACTTGGTTATAGAGGCTCTAATAACATGTCATAAACCAAATATTCCAAAAGTTTAAATTGTGAGGTGAAGAATCAAGAATGATTTTATATGTAATATGTTCCATTAGCTAATCGCTTTCTCCTTCTCTTCATGCGTATAGGTACGGTGCACTAATTTTGTTAATTCATTATTGGAAGAAATATGTATGTATAAAGAAGATTGCAACATACAACAATGCCTCACAAGACTGAAGACATAAAAACTTACATCAAAACTATGTTCCATTACCTTGAGAAACCATTTGTAGAGTCGATTGCAATTCATGTCGATCCCTGATTGTACTAGATTGTTTACAGTAAACCACTCTCGTGTATGCAACCTCCATGCACTTATATGCCAAAGCAGCTGCTGCCATTTCTTGGCGACTTTCATATTCATAGGCACAGGATCTGAAAACATTTCAAGGCACAGTACGAATTGAAGGCCAGCTAACATGAATAGCTAAAGAAAAAGACAATAGTCCATTAAACTTCAAATGTTATTTAATGGAACAACTTTTATTCTAAAAGTTGAACAAACAAACTAACAGTAAGACAGTAACAGCACAAAACAGTAAATAATTCAATAGATCTAGACAGGCACTGCTAACAAAGCTGGGAAGTGTTAATCGAAGACAGTGATTAGCCTTTGTAATTCGCTAAATGATATACAAGACTCCCTCCTCCCTCCCCCCAAAAAATAACTAGATCAAAAATCATGCTTATGTTACAGACAAGCAAGCATTCAATTAGTTTTAAACCTGAAGTAATTGTAAATTGGTAACAACTAGGCAAAGTAAGACTCATAGCATAAAGCATTATGCAACTATTGCAGCCCTATATTTTATAGCTCATATTGTCTACCAAAGCACAATCCTAAAAATCCTCTCAAAAAACAGGGGCCCTTGATAGGAGAAAAAAAAGAGACATTCACTAAAAGAATTAAGGAGATACTTAGAAAAACATCTTACTAACAAAAAGATTTAATTATTATGTCATTAATTGCTTCCATCCATAATCGAGAAGTCTCACAAAGATAGCTTGTCACTAGGAATGGAATTAAGCGGAGCTGAGCCATCCTAGGCCTAGCTCATGCTAGGCTCCAAAAAGAAATTGAGCTTATTTTCTTAGCTCAAGCTTGCCTCACCTTAAGCTCAGAAACTACTCAAGCTTAATCAGCCAATATCGAGACTAGTATTATTTGAATATTTTAGACTCAATGAGTTAGACTCAAATCTGTAACTAAATAAAATCTATATATTCAGTTAAAAAATAATATAGTTAAACCAAAGAAAAATTAAATGAAACTACATATTAAATTAAAGCGTGATTATTATTATATTTAAAAAATGTCTGTATTTATATATCGAGCTGGCTGACAAGCTAATCATTCAAACATGTAAAAGCTCAAATTTGGCTCATTTAAACAAGGAAAAATGATCAGTTCAATGAGTTGTTCATGAACCAAGATGAGAGCTGGCTCGACTGACTTCTAGCCTCAACCAAATTACAAGTTCTCAAACCTTTTTTTCTCAAAATGTACTTTGACTCATAAATTACATGTTCTCAATCAAGATGTACAAAGTCAATAACTGAATAATGGTAAAAATCTAAGTTCATAAAATAATAAATTTAATTATAGCTTCAAATTTTGCTTTACTCACTTGAAAAGTTCAGCTGTAGTAGCATAAATTTGCATTTGACTCCTCTCCCCATGCTTGCTACTCTCACCGTGACAATTTTCTAAAAGAGATGCTCCATGCAGAAACTTCAAACCAGCTTGAAAGTAAGTCTCATTGCTTTCAAAATCAAACCCGCACTCCTATAAAATAAACAGTATTTAAACCATCAGTTATAAAAAGATAGATACTAGATCCAACCAAAAGATTTGAAGTAAAATCTTGAAATGATAAATTAACCTTATAATGATCTGCTCTATCTTTTAGTTTTGTAGCTTCTTCCAGGGTGTTAATGGCAGTATGGCTAGAATTTGTTCTCACAGAACTTAACAGGGCGAGTTGTTGATCGGGTGAAAAATTTCCAGAACTATGATTAATTCCATTGTTGCTACTAACGTCAGCAGAATTTCTCATTAACTTGGCTCCATTACCATTGCCACGCACATGGACTGGATGCTCACTTGACATATCTCCCTTTTGATACCGAGGTACAGTTCTAGAACCCACATATAATGTTTCCCTTTTTACTTCACCCACAGCAGATGAGAGAATTTTGGATTTCCCATCTCTTAATTCTGTGCATACATGATTAGCTTTGTTTTCTTCCTCAAAATCACGAGTCAGGTTCTGCTGGGAGATAGTCTTCCTATCAGTGCTACATTGAGCATCCATTTTCAGAACTGAATTCTCAAAGTCTTTTTGTTTTAGCTTAGTTTGCTTCCCACTATCACTTGACCCATGTTTTAAAGCACTTTTCTCACTAATACTGTCAATCTCGCATTTAAACTTGGGAGAACTGTGTTTAGTACTGTTTGTTGTCTCAGGACCATATGCATGATAACTCGGATCAACTGCTGAATCATAGCTTCTCCCATTTTTGGAATAATCATTCTCTGAAGCTGAAACCTTCATGTTATCTGTACCAACCTGAGAGCCAGACCTTCTGTCCTTTTCCTTGCTGTGCAAGGATGTAACCTTACCAGATTTCTGCCAAGAAAGTTCACTTTCCTGGTTGTCCTTGTTTACTTTCTTCACATGATGCATAGCATTGGCACAATTGCCATGTTGTTCAACAAGAATACCACTTTCAATCAAATGGTTATTCTTAACTCCAGAAGAAGTTTTAGCAAGGACCCTGGTTTTGTCTTTAGCATCCTCAACCCTGTACTCTATTGAAGATAATTTGTCAGATGCAGGATGTAAGTTATATGAAATTCTATTCCCCTTCAATTTTACTGATTGCTTTCCCTCCCTGTTATCCTCACATCTCCTGGAACCTGTTGAAGATAGACCACCTTTTGTAGAATCATCCTTCCCTGAAACGTCCTTTACTGCCAAAACACGCTTATCAAAGTTGGAGTTCCTCAAATGTGATGAGGTAACAGATTTTACAGGCAAACCTCTAACATCTTCAAAGTTGGTTTTAGCTTTATAAGATCCTGAAACCTTAGAAGAGCTTGAAGTTGCTGCCAATGAAAGTTGTCCAGAGCCCAATTGCTTGCCCAATGGATTCGTATCATCCACAGATTGACGAGATGCAATATTTTTTCTGTGCTTCCTTGGTTGGTGGGCTTTATCAGCAAATCTTACTTCTGTTCCAAGAACCATTTGGTCCCTACTGCCTGTCAATGAAACTTGGCTCATCCCACCTTTACTCGATTTATCATCACCTTCAGTTACTGACTTTGCATCTTCATTAAAAATTCTAGACTTCTTCTCCTTCCTAAATTTATTTGAATTGTCCTCTTCGCCACACTGCTTATCACCATACAAGGAGTAAGTGTTATTATGCTTCTCATTATCTAGCCAGCCCTTCAATTTCCTTTTCTTCATCGAACCATCACTTTTACTGCTGTTTTTCACACCCAAGGGCTCACCGCCAGACGAGACCTGAGCCTGATCTCCCTCTTTCTTTACAGGGACTAGTAATTTGTCCTGTACATCCTCAGATAAACAATACTCATCAGACTTCCTCCTATCCCTCCCACGAGCCTTTGTTGGCAAACCATTTCCTGAATTTAAAGCCACCTTCTCAAGGCCCATGCCAGGATTCAATTGTTTATCAGCATAGCAAACATCAGTTTTTGATTTCTTAGGAGTCCCCGATCTATATTGATCAGCATCCATCTTGCGTTTCGATTTAATATGCTTTCTATCACCTGCATATGGGTGAAAAAAAATTGACATTTTTAATTAAGAATATCTATAATTGTTTATTAACAAAACAAAAATAAATCTGAAATAACAAAATATCAACTCTGAAATGAACGAAATACCTCCATTTATGTGCTTTTCTTTCTCTTTAGGCATATCTTTCTCATCTATCAAGTTGTTTAACCCGCTAAAATATTTAGAATTCAACTTTTTCATAGGGTCTGAGCCTGCAGGATGCTGATTCATGTCAATCAAGCTTCTATTTTTTCCAGATTCTGGAGCATTGAGCTTTCCAGAGTTTGAGAACTGAAGCATGTCATTTTTTATTCCTGCCATTGTCTTTTCCTTAATAACATGTTTCTTCTTTCCTCGATCAAACTTAACATCAGAGCCGGACTTCTTGAGACTCGGGCCAAATTGCAAAGCATCAGCAGAGCTCACTCCAATTGCAGATCCATTGGCATGGCTTTGCATTTTATTTTGACTGACAGAAATTGGCACTTGATACGAGGCATAAAGTGCCTTTGTTGTGTCGTCCTCACTAAAGTCACAACTATTCATCCCAGGCCTAACAATTTCAGAAGAACAATGAGGAGGCAATAATACATAGAGCACAGACAAATGTATACAATCATGGGGAAATAAAACAAATAAAAAAAAAGTAGTCCTCAATTATTGCTTAAAATACAGCATCAAACTAATTGTATACCTAGCATAATATGATCACGCAAAATTCAAACCAAAATGAGCAATCAACTTACAGCCAATTTAGCATGCTGCACAACCATTTCTTCGGAAGCTGATCTGGCTTTATACCAGTAGGTAGCAGCCGCCACTGCTCGCAACTGTCACAACATACCCAATCTTCTGCAATAAGTTGAGGTGCTGCTACTGCTGAAGCAATCATTTCAGGAGCAGGGCCATTTTCAGCAATAGGAAATGAACCTGAAGCATCTTTTATGCATGGCCCATCTAGCAACTGGTTAACCACTTTATTGCCACTTGGTCTTTCCTTTACTTTAGCCCCAAACACACTCTGTTTTTTGAAATTATTAATGTTAGCATCTTTCATAGCACTATTACCAGGAGGAACATCAACTTTCCATTCTGATTTTTTTTCTTTCAATGAATCTTCGTTACTATGTTTGACCTTTTTGTCCTTAAGTGACTTTGATTTATTCATTTTACTTCTATGAGTAATGCCAAAGCCAGCACTCCCTTTATCAGTTATCATTGCATCATTACTACCACCAAAGCTATCTCTTCTTGCAACAGCCTCGGCTTTTCCAGGAATTTGAACACCTTTTGACTTATTTTTGCCCTCATTTACAGCTGTTACCTTCTGATGGGTCTCATACTTTTGAGGAACTTGATCTACCTTACATTTTACAGCATCATGCTCAACCATTTTGGAAATCATGTTAGCATTACACTTGTCATTATTCTTACGATCAGTAGAATTATCCTTGCGGAAACTTTCTAGTTTATGCTCTAGAACATTTTTCATAAAACCATTGCCTGCATTTGTCTTTTCAATCTTCTTGAAATCCTGACCAGATATTGACTCCAACGACTCCTCCTTCAATGCTTCAACAAAAACCATTCTGCCTTGCAACCCATTCTCATTAACCTCCTTTGAGACTTCAGAAGCTTTAGCTGTGACTTCAGCAGTTTCACCAGCATCACAAATTGAACTTGACAGAGGTGTCCTTTTCAAGTCATTCGAGAGAAAGTCCTTACGATCTGGTGTTCTATTTCCAAACATTTTCTTTGTATGCAATGTCATATCTTCCTCAGAAATGGTCCCATTCATATTCTTCAATTGCAGCTGCTTTTCATTTTGTCTCACTTTCGTCTTCTTCAAATGCCCATCCTCAGCAAAAGAATCTGATTCATCAGTAGACATGGGAAAAGGTTCTTGATGACCATTAAGAGGAGACATATATCTGTTGTCTTGAATAACTTTTTCCTCTTTTATCAAGGAGAGAAAACTTTCATGTAGTGGTGATATTAGAACACCCCCGGGGATAGAAAAGGAAGTCATATCCTATATCATTAAATAAATGGTAAATACTTCAATCTTTCTAATGGAATCAAACATTATAGAAATAGAAAAGGTCCTCTACCTGAATAATGGCAGTTACATAATCTTCAGTATTCTCTTGAGATACAGGTGGCATGCCTTCACTTTCCACAGGGCTGTTCCCCATTGAGGAAGATGGAGAGCTATCAAGCCCAAGGCCACTATAAATTGCTGCATTCTTTTGTGCTAAGATATGAGATTTCATTTTGATTCGAAACTTCAGCGGTCTTTGGTCAGTTGAATTTCCTGTCTTTTTTGTAGTATCATCTTTCAAAGTGCATCTCTCAGCTGCATCACCGGAAGAAATTCTTCTGCCTTTCAACACTGAGTTATCTACTGAAGGTGCTCTTAAATCATGAAATGAATGTGGACTATAGGAAGCATTTCCAAGCCTCGCAGAAGGAGGCACATTTGAAGGTGCTTCGGTGTTATGAGACACAGCCTGAATAAAAACATAACCAACAGTGTTGAATTAAACTGTATTCCTTCCATTCCAACATATATGGCAGCATGTATTACCTTCCTATAAAATAGTAAAATAAACAAACAACAATATTGCTATACCTCAATGTGGACATTGATAGGAGATTTAGGTGAGCTGTGGTTTCTTTGTGGAATCTTTGAATGAGACCGAAAACAAGGAGAGCGTTCATAGGTAGGTAAAAAGGAACCATAGCAACCAAATTTTGCACCTGAAAAATATTATTCATATCTGATAGCATCACTTTTGTGGACGCAAATTCTCACTACAAGCAATGACTTTATTATGCCACTTACCCAAATTTTCAGCAGACACACCACCTTCAAAGTCCTTTTGAAAATGGCCCAGAGCATGTTGAATCTTCTCATCCTACAGGAAACAGGAAACAACTTCTTAGGCCTAATATTTTCATAATGAAATTTAACCAATATGACTTTAAGGAAAAAATGGCATTCATCATTCATCAATAATAATCACAAGGAATATGAAGCATGATAATACAAGGCACCTTGAAGAATTGTCATTAGTTCATCTATTTGATTTGTAGGTACTAACCTTATCAGAGGCTAAAATATAAATGCACATTAACAACGCAACAACAATATGAGAAACACCTAGAAGATCAACTTGCATCAAGACCATTTCACACAAGAACTAATGGTACGGTGCATAAATTCATTTACCAGTTGTTGGTGATGGGTGTGGTAGATACAGTTACTGGTAACTAGTAAACTATGTTTTTCACTCGTGAAGCAACAGGATAAGCATCTCCAGCATCATTACGCCAACAAAATCAGTTCATAATATTTATAGGCAGTTTTCAAGGATTGATTCATTTATGCTATGCCAGTTAGTTCACAAGTAACTCAAGAAATTCTACATTGATACTGAATTTCTTTTCCTTTAACAAACAATGTAGGTTTATTTATGAAGCCCAGTAATCAAATTATATTTAGTCCCTACAGACAGAAGTTTAATTATGATAAATTCTATAACACTTTCATTCCCTATTTTCCTCAGGAAACAAATACGTTGATACATTGAAAGACCATGTTCAATGATAGTAGTACAATGAATGAAATTTTAGTGATCACCCAAAACATAAACCAAACCAAATTCAAATGGGAAAATTTTGAACTTGGTCAAAAGTGGATTCAAGTAAGCCCTTACAATGTAAGATAGAGAATCAAGGTCAACGTTGCCTTCATCAGTATCCTTATAATAGCAAGCCTCTCCTTCCTCGAGCTCAGTATGCGCTTCCATCACTACAACCAACCAAAATTTTCTAGCCCTAAGCCAAACCACAGAATTCAAATAGTAACACCTTTATATTGGAACCTTCTCGGAAGTCCAACATCACTTCAATAAAACCCCCAAAAAAATGGCAGAAAAAAAAAAACCCAAAAAAACCCAAATTTATGAAAGAATCATCCAACCCACAGAATCAAACACGAAACCCTCAAAAACCCAGAAGGGAAATCCGCTGAAAGGCACAGTGATCATGCCATAAGACAACCCTTCATTGACGTAGAAGCATATAAACCAGAATAAAAATACTTACTTGCATTAAAAATTCAATTTTTTTGGCTTCAACCCCACAACCTTGTGAACAAGATGAGACTGTGGAGATCGGCGAAACCGATCAGTGACCACCGGAATGAGTTTTGACGGCAAGTTCAAAACGGATTTCAAATCTTTCACTTCGCGCTCTCTGTGTATTTTAATTATTTGATTAAATTTAGGGAGAAACATCTATCATTTTAAAGGAGGTAAGTTCATATCCTTTTAGATCTTAACCCTTTGATTTCTGCCCATCAACGGTTATAATCTATTGGGCTAAATTTAATGGGCCAAATTTATTATTAATAAATTAATAATTTTAATCCAATAAATTATAATCGTTGATGGACGGAAATCAACGGTTAGGATCTAAAAAGATATAAGTTTATATCCTTTAAAAAGATAGATGTTATTCTCTTAAATTTCATTAAATCGTAATCTTTTTTTTTGTGGCCTAATCCTTTTTTTGTGGCGTAACAATTTTTTGTGGCCTAATCTTTTTAAATTGTTACCGTTTTTGAATTTTTTAAAATTTAAATGTAAAATTTATTTATTTTATATTTTTTAGCTAATTGTTTGATTCCTTGCCAATTAAAATTGCTGTTGTTTATTTACAAAAAAAAATTGTTATTGTTCTATTCTTATTTTAATTATTTGATTTTGTTGTAAAATATAAATTTATGGATGACTTAAATTACGTGACCGTTAGCAATACAATTATCTCTCATTTATATTTTTATAATCACTACACTAATAAAAATTAATTTATCATTCATGGTTGTATTCCTATTTGTACTTATGTATGAGCTGAATGAGAATAGCATTTTCTTTTTCTTTTTGGTAAATAAGAATAGCATTTTCTACCCCATCATGTCTTCTCCTAATTTTATAACAGATTTCAAACACTTGATTTGTAAACAAACTTTAACAGATTTTGTTATAATCTTAATGGGAAAAATATTTGTCGTTTCATTCGTTTGATGTTTATTTAATAAGTTTTATATTTTTCCCTTCTCTACTTTCTGGAACAGTGACAATCTTATTTTCCTAAATGCCACGTCAACAGTATTATTTTTCAATCTGCCACACGGACAAGCTCGCTACAGTGCCCAACGAACTTGGTTTGCTGACATGGCACGTTTCTAGTGGACAGGAAGTTCGCTACGAGTAGCAAATTACGTTGCAATAAATACTGACACATTGGAGAAGTTCGCTTCCACATGCAGCGAACTAGGTGCACGTGTCTGACATGCATCAAGTTCGCTGAAGGTCCAAGCGAACTTGGTGCCACGTGGCGCAATCTCGTTGTCTTGTCAGAATTAATGTATCAATCACAATTAAAAAAAGAAGGAAAATCGCTATTTATTTAATGTACCAATCAAAATTAATATATCAATCATCAATCACAATTAATGTACCAATCACAATTAATGTATCAATGGGAATAACTTTTGATTGTACCAATCACAATTATTGTATCAATCACCGATCACGATTAATTTTGATCACAATTAATGTACCAATCACGAATCACATTTAATGTACCAATCATAATTAATTTTAATTGGTACATTAACTGTGATTGGTGATTGATACATTAATTGTTTGTGATACCATTGTTACAAATTTGAACGATGTTTGTGAGAGATAAAATATGTCAAATGAAATGTCATTGAGTAGATCTCGAAAAGTTATATGAAATTAGGGGTGTCAAAACGGGTCGACACAACACGACACGAATTCGACACGACACGAATACATCAACACTAACACGACACGAATTTTTATTCGTGTCAAAATCTTCAACACTGACACGACACGAATTTTTTGCGGGTTGACATGACACGACACGAATAACACGCAAAATAGGGGTCAAAAAGGTAACTGACAATTTTTTTTTTAAAAAATGGATCGATATTAAAAAAATTAAAAAAATAATAATAAAAAATTAAAAATAAAATAATTTAAAAAAATACGGGTCGACACGAACACGAATACATCTACACGAACACGACACGAATTTTTTACTTGTCATTTTTTCCAACACGAACACGACACGAATTTTTTTTGCGGGTCAACCCGAACACGAATTTTCGTGTCGTGTCGCGGGTCGACCCGCGTGTGAAAACCTATATTGACACCCCTATATGAAATAAAATAAAAAATATCTGATTTGGATATCCGAATCAAAACTTATGGCCCTCCGAAGTGATTGGTGATAGGTATATTAATTGTGATTGGTATAATTAAAAGTTATTCTCATTGGTACATTAATTCTGATTGGTGATTGGTACATTAATTGTAATTGATGATTGATATATTAATTTTGATTGGTACATTAATTAAATAGCCATTTTTCTTCATTTTTTTTAATTGTGATTGGTAATTAATTCTGATCAGACAACAAGATTGTGCCACGTAGCACATGTGGTAGTGAACTCCTCCATTGTGTCAACATTTATTGCAACGTCAGCAAACCAAGTTTGTTGGACACTCCAGCGAACTTGCCCGCATGGCAGATTGAAAAATAACAATGTTGACGTGGCATTTAGGGAAATAAGATGGAGAACAGTGGCACTTTGGTCACTGTTCCCTACTTTCTTCAATCCAATCTAATCTTTAAATTGAAAATAATTTTAGTTAAAAAAACAATATTTATTAAAAAAGAGAGATACTTACTATTTTTTTTCTTATTACCTTTTATTATTAAATTTTAATCGTTGATTTTTGTCAATATAACGGTTATAATTTATTGAATCGTGCTTATTAATTAATTATTAATTTCCAATAAATTATAATAATTACATTAGCAGAAATCAACGATTAGGATTTGATAATAAGCGGTAATAAAAAAATAATAGATATAACTTCACTTATTAAAATGCTTTTATTAAGTGCTTTTAAATGTAACATGCTCACTCAAACAAGTTAGTTTTAAAAAAATATTACGTGTATATAATAACATTTAAATCATTGGAAGAGAATGCATTCTGGTTTGATATATGAATAAATTAATTTATAAAAAGTATAAATTTAAAAAAAAAATAGTTTATCAAAAATAAAAACTAATATTATCTTATTAGAATGCGTATCAAACCCTATCTCATATTTGAAACTGAAATGATATTTGAATATACTTTATTCATATCCATTTACCACTAGTGTTTTCACATTTAAAAAAATATATTTTAATTTTTAATTTTTTTTATCAATTCTTTACTTTTATTTATTTTCTTTCAATTTTTTATTTTTTCTTATTTTTAGTTATTTGATTTTTTATAAAAATAGTTTCAAATTTTAAATAAGATTGAGTACCATTTTAAACTAATTAGTAAATAATTACAACATTTTATATCAATTACCTTAAATACATATTAAAATTACAAAAAATACATTAATAACTGTTCGGTCCTGGATAGACCGTATTGCTATACCGAAAGGTATGCGCTCAGAGATACTGTATATTCAGTTATATACTAGGCTTATAGCCGATGTCCCAATCACTGCGCACAAGCAATAGGCTTAGAGCCAAGGGGTGGGTGTTGCAAAGTGTGAGCAGTATTCGTAAATAGGTTAAAAGTGTGTATCTGGGGTCTTTATGCTCTTATTTATAAGGATTACCTTTCTAGGTCTGGATCTTTTGAGATCTCCCAGATTTGCATTACGATTCAGCTCTTATTCTGTTGGGATGAGATCCTTATCTTGAGTGCTTTGACTGCTTAATGTTGTTGAGATACTTATGTGTCTATCTCTTAGTAGATTCTTAGGTGAGTAGTTGGGATATGATATTCATATCCATAACAGTTGCCCCCCAGCTCGGTATTCTGAAGCTCGGAATACCGAGGTGTCATTGCATCACCCCGGATCCGATTCGTCCGAGTTCATTAGTCTCGGAATTGAGTTTTTTAAAAGTTCGGCGTTTGTGGCATTATTCGGAGCCATTTTTACCGAGGTCGTTCACGTAATATTCCTTGATTTTCCTTGGAGTTGTACGTTGAAGTTGATATTTAACACGTCGACTCCGTAATGAGTCCGATCTAGGCCCTTAGGTATTGTTTGGTCCGAGTTTCAACTTCGTCGTGTTTGGCCGATTTGATGTCCTTAATCATGCTTTTGGGGCAAGGGTCGTGTTCTGACCTCGGTGTCGTCAGAATGACCTTTCCTTTTTCGCGTGTTTCGACGGTTACAACGATCCACGTGTTCTACGTTTGTTGGCAGTTCGTGCATCGTGCAGGGCGCGCCGTCCTGACTGCATGCAGGTTATGATTGAGTGCATTTAATGTGTGTATGGCGAAATATCCCTTTTGCTCTTCGTTAATCAGCCGTTTGGAGACTCTTTGTCTTCGCGCCCAGGGTGGATTTTCTTCCTTTAAATTCGCTTTCTCAAGTCGTTTCAGAGTTTTGCATTCCTTCTGGGTTCTTCTCTGTTTCTGGCTTTTTCTTTGTTTCTTGTCATTTTTCTTTCGAGCTGTCTTGGAGTTTCTGACCTTTTTAACGTGTCATTCTCGGTGAAGGCTTTTGAGGAATCTTACATCTAGCTTTCTTCCTCCTTTCACTTTGTTCAGGTACTTTCTCTTTACTCAAACTCTGGTTTGGTTATCGTTTGCATTTCCTTTCGATTTGAGTTTGAGCTTAGTGGTGTTCTTAGCTGGAGTGAGGGAGAAGCTTATGTTCCCCTTGAGTTTCTGTTCGAGAGTGTTGAGAGAGGTTTTCTGCCTGTTTTGATTTTGGCGCTGTTCATGAGTACTCCTGGTTCATCTTCGGGTCCAGTTGCTGGCCGAGGTGGCGAAGAGGACGAAGAGGTAGTGAAACAACTGCCTCGAGCTGTACAACACTGGTTTTATGGGAAGGAGTATACCGAAGAGGAGAAGCTTCAACAACTTCTCCGCGGTCCTCGAGGAGGTCGCCGGAGTTCCCGAGGTGGACGCGGTCCGCGGTCCTCCTTTGGTCTCGAATCCTTCAACTGTTGGGTTGAACTCTTCTCCTGACCCGGCTCATTTATCCTACATCTTGTCGTCGTCTCAGGTGATCCCTGGTTCGAGGTCCGTATTAGATCGAATCCCTCCCCTTGGGTTGGATGATAGCTCTTCCAGCCTTTCT